TTTTAGAATATGGATTTGGCACAATTTTAAATCGTATCTATGCCATTTTTAGAGATTGGCCTTTCATTACCATTTTTTTTATGAGTATATATACATTTTAATGATTTTGTTTTATAAAGTTGTTCTGCAGAGTAAAATTCTGCGCGGAATTTTTGTTTTTTGAGTTTTTTGTTATTTTTGCTTATTCACTGCATGTAAGATATTGAAATTTTGCATGATTTTTTTCTTCATCGGAAAGTTGGTTTAATTTTTATAGTAATATATTTTTTAAAATTTATGTTTCTTTTGGAAGTTATGCAGAGTAAAATTTGCGCAGTTTTAAATTTAACGTTTGGCGTTCCCTTCAGGCATTTTTACGGTACATTTAAAAGCCAGACGAAGGCTGGCAGCGTAGCTGCTAGTTACAGAATAAAAAAAATGTACCTGGTTACAACTGTAACTAAGGCACAGCTGAAAGTACATCAGCAATCTATTCTGCTATTGATACGTCTTAAATCTTACTGACACATTACAGAATAAAACAAAATATATCTGGTTACTCAGTTAGCATCTCACTGAACTAGCTGAAACTATTTTAACTAAATTAGCATCATGTTCTTTTGATTAGTTGCGTATGTATAAAAAACTAAACAATTAAATTTAATTGACAGCTGCAATCTACTTTTAAATAAGTTTTGCACCTCAGGCTGCGTTTTCTTTGCAAATACGCCCTATCTTGTCTCACTTGTTTTTGTCTCTACCAGAAAAGGTTCTATGGGCTAAGATGAAAGGAAATCACTTGTACCATTTTTTTTTTTTAAACTACTGCTTTGTTGTTGAGATCTCTTTAATTTTCAGTACACTTCCTTTAAAAATGATTCACAACTGCAGCTGGGGGGGGGACTATGGAGGTCAGGCAAAAGTTTTTTTTTTTTTTTTTTTTTTTTTTTTTTTTTTTTTTTTTTTTTTTTTGTTTTTTTTTTTTTTTTTTTTTTTTTTTTTTTTTTTTTTTTTTTTTTTTTTTTTTTTTTTTTTTTTTTTTTTTTTTTTTTTTTTTTTTTTTTTTTTTTTTTTTTTTTTTTTTTTTTTTTTTTTTTTTTTTTTTTTTTTTTTACTGGTTTTGTTTTTTTTTTTTTTTTTTTTTTTTTTTTTTTTTTTTTTTTTTTTTTTGTTTTTTTTTTTTTTTTTTTTTTTTTTTTTTGTTTTTTTTTTTTTTTTTTTTTTTTTTTTTTTTTTTTTTGTTTTTTTTTTCCTTAGATTTATCAGAGCCACGCATACAGGGCCGCTGATCTTTAGTAATTTCAGCCTGAGCATGAGTGTCAGACAATATGCCATACATATGCTTGATATGCGCTTTCGTGCTTTTCCTGATATGTAACAAGAAATTTGAGTTCGTTTCTCCGAAAATGGATTCGACGAAGAAATCCCTTCCTTAATAAATATGAAATCCTTGCTCATTTTATAAGGTATTTGTCCCACATTCCTAGCGTGCCTTCGTGGTGTAACGGTAGCACTCTGGGCCGGTATTCCAGAGGTCCGTGGTTCGATTCCTAGCGAAGGCGGTGCCATTTTCACTGCTTCCAAACCTAATGACTCAAGTGGCGCCCGAATAAAAAGGGTGTGGATGATGATTCTCCGCACCCAGGATTTGGCGACTAGGTCCTAAAACCCAGTCACCTTTAAAAAGGGGAGTATATAAGGATTTCTCCCACTTCCCTACCGTGCCTTCGTGGTGTAACGGTAGCACGCTGGCCCGGTATTCCAGAGTTCCGTGGTTCCATTCCCGGCGAAGGCGGTTGCTATTTTTCATCTTTTCTGCCTCTAAAACAATCCTAATGACTCTACAATTTGATTCGAAGATTCTGTCTATTCAAAAACTTTATATATCTTTAATACGCGTAGAGACATAAGGTCATTTTGAATTTGGAGACATGAAAAATGAGCAATGCCCTCGCCGGAACTGGAATCTAGACTCCTTTAATACGCGCCGAGTGTGCTACATTTACACCACGAAGCCATGCAGAAAGGAGGAAGAAAATGCCTCACATATTTCCCCTTTTAAAGGGCGACAGGGAATTTAGGAGACTTAATCGCCAAATCCCGGTGGTGAAGAATCATTATCCACAGTCTTTTAGTTCAGGCGATTCTGTAGAGTCATTAAAATTTTTTTTGAAGCAAAAGACATGAAAAATGACCAGTGCCTACCTGGACCTCTCAAATATACGCCGAGTGTGCTACCATTGCACAACGAAAGCATGCAGAAAGAAGGGAGAGATGCCTTTAAAACGATATTCGTTTCTTGCTGTAACTCTTGTATCTCGCAAGTATTCATAGAATACCTTCAGTATTTTTATTAGTATCAATATCAATGTTAAGAGAATGTTATATCGTAGAATCTTTATTTTGTTAATAGTTTTTAAGCTGTACTTTTGTAATTTTTTTCGAATATCTCTTTTTATAATAATCAGTACTTTTATTGGTATCAATATCAGTGTCCAGAAAATGTTATATTGTGGCATCTTTAGTTTGTTAATAGTTTTTAAAATTAACTTTCGTAATTTTGCTTAATTAATACAATGGGCATACATACGTTAGAGTTCAAATACTACTTATCTATTCTCCATGTATTAAGACTCATAGTCACACTTATTCAGTACAGTGGACATCTTCTATACATGTATACTTTACAGTATACTTTCACCATTGTTCTAAATATTCAAGTATGATGAAGTATATTTAGGTTTTACAAATTTCTGTCTATGAGTTATTTTAATTTAAGTATCCTTGATACTGCAAAGGTTAATACTGTATTTCTTTCACTACTTTTGTAAACATTTTATTGGTAATATTCACAAAACTGTATCTCTGTTAATAGTTCAATGGAAATACATCGCAGCTATCATCCATATTGTTTACCGTACAGTATATACTTTTAATTTTTGTAAAATTCAATCAAGTATTATAATACAGTTTGCTCCAAAAGATAATACTGGAAATTTTACTTTTAAATACCTTTAATCTTACTTCTACTAATACATGTTATTATCAAGGATGTGTTCGTGTTGGAGGTAAGCAAGAAGTTTTTTCGCTGTAACATTTTGTTGCTTTTATTTTGGTGGGAATTTAAACTATTTATTTGGCTAGCTGAAAACAGGGAAACTCTCTTTACCTGAAACGTTAAAGATTATGTTATACATTGGAAAATACTAACTGGAATTCTATTTACCTAAGCAAATACGAAATCATTTCACTTAGAAAGTACTCCATGAATGCATCTCTTCTAAAAACATAACTTTCGTATGTTTTTCTATAATTAGGTAATAAATCATTAAATGATCATCATAAATTTGCATAAAACGAGTTCTCCTCAACTACACTGTTTTGTTGCATTGCTGTCTTTATAAGTGTTTTTTCAATGTGTTTTTAGTACTTCGATATTTTGAAATTAGAATGCATCATATAACTGCCTGTTATTATTTATTATAGGAAAATCATATTTTAGGAGCAGATTAGCAAATTTAAATTTATTTAAAATCTAATATATCTAATTTGCTTTTTAGAAATATATGAAATTCCTTTTGTAAACATTCTGAAGCAAATGTGCTAGACTTTTAATGAAATTGCTAATTACCTCAGTTGCTTGAATCGCATTTAAGATTTATTAATGGAATACTTAAAAAATGCTTTGATAAATGCTGATAATATTTACACCGATTTTTAAATCTTTCACAGTTTATTCTCAAGAAAATAACGCAGAAATGTAAAAATTTATAAAGGGTGTGACTGTTTGAAACTAAAACTAAATCTAAGAAAATTCTCGGCTACATTTTTTACGGAGAATAGTCGAAGTAATAGGAATTTAAATGAAGCATGAAATCCATTTTTAATGATTAGTCGTAACTAATAACTGTTCTATCAAATTATGCTGCCTATACTGAAGGACATAAACTATAGAGAGTAAGATTTGCTTCTAGTAGATAAAATGGAATGTTTCGTTGGAAGGCCAATAAACACGGCGGATTTTCATTTGTATTCAATGCTGAACCAAAGTATTTAAACGACTTTTAATATTGCTATTAATCTTCAAATTTTGAAATCAATGTAATTTTCAAGGATACATATTTTTAATGCTTTACAGGATGTTTACAGAAAAGCAAAAATTACGCTTGAATAAACACACAAAATGCAATAAAAATTAATTTTATTCGATATATATCAGATTTATTTACAAAAGCCGTGAACTTTATATTATCATGACTTACACAACGTCTGATTTTAATAATTAACACTAATTATATGATATAAATGAGATGTCGGTAGAATTTATCTTATTCTGATGGTTTGCGATGATAATGTTTCCTCTGTTATGCAATAAATAAACAAATTCAAATTTTCTTTCAGAAATGGCCAATTTACTCACAGACCGGTTGACTCAGTCTCGGGTAATTAACCGCATTTGTGTGTACTTTCGAAATAATTCTTTCACCTCTCCATTTCTTTTGAATTAAAAAGGTTCTGGAAAGGATAAATAATCTAAACTGGTACAGAAATAGATTTTTTTTTTCAAAATGATTAAAATAAAACTCAGTATTGAAGACTGGTATTTTATTTTATCAATTTAATTTATATCTTTTTAATAAATACGAGTGTACTTTTAAAACCCGCTTACTACTTGGGTATTTCTCCAAACATAGGTTTTAAAGTTTTTATTCATTAAAAACTTTAAGTATACTTCTTATTATTATTCTCATCTGGAGGTTTGAAGAAAATTTAGTATTCGTTCCATCTCTAGATTTTAGATATAAGAATTCTCTAGATTTTAGCTACTTTCACTTTCGGTTACAAGAATTTAATTAATTCAGGAGACTAATACCGAATTTCATGTAGCAGAGTAGAGTCTCCAATAAAGAATAAACATTGTAATCAAACTTAGAATCTGAGAGTCAATGTGAAAGCGAAATTTAGCAGTATGTTTGCTTCCTTTGATTCCCAGACTATCAGATGATCGATGGCAGATATTTTCCTGCAGTGTTGAGTGATGTTATCGGGCACATCTCATCTCTTGACCTCCTACTTTTGACTTCAGAACACAAATCTCTCATGCGATAAGGTTTTAAATAATATAAAAGTCAAATTGGTTTCCAGAAAAGTTTGCTGCTCATTGCTACTGGCAGCGTTCCTTTTTCAAAGAGAAAAGGCACACATAGATTCGGAGAAAATCACAAATTGCAAACGCCGGTGAGTTTCACTTTTATTTCATTTTTAACGTTCGATACCTTTCAGTATAGCATTCCGTCAGTGTAATAATATTCTAATCAGGGCTTAATTTCTAAAAGTAGAAGTGCAGGAGCCTTATGGAAGGTTTCCAGGAAAAAGGAACAAGAGTAAATAAATAAATAAAATGACTATTAAAATGATTAATAATTTAAAAAATAATTTGTTAATGGTTATCAAATTAATTAATAATTACTTAATTACTATTAATAATTAATATTTATTAATTGCCATTTAATTGATAATTATTATTTATGAAAATAACGCCGGAATTCCTTACGAAACTGAGTTCCACCCAGAATAGTGATTCCTCCCCCCACAGTAATGTAATATGAGTGCTTTCGAACGGGGCTGCATTCAAAATTGTATTTTCTATAACAAGTTCAGAGTATCGTACAATTTATTCCCGCTAATTATTTTATTTCCAAAACAAAAATTATATGTACTTATGCAATGTATTTTGCATATTAATAACTTTCAAAGTTATGTACTTTTCCATAGTCAAATGGAATAAAAGCGCTGTAAGAAACGGAAATATGGCATTTGCTTAATACCAATTAAAAATTATAATATTTTCGGGGGGGTGGGGAAACTGAAATATGTAGCATATTTTCACTAAATTCACAATTACAATGCATGTAGTAATTTAAACATGAAGAATTTTAAGACCTATGACAGAAGAGCTAGAATAATTTACTGTATTTTACAGCATATTTTTTTAAATTCTTTCCGTATTTTATAATGCGTTGCTGTTAACTTTCAGTTAAAGTAAATAACCTGATTTATTTCTTAAATTGCTCTATCACTTTTCAGAAATTTTTGGGGGACTGTCGTAATTCTATATTTTAAAATCATGTAAATAACTTATGTCTTTCTATTTTCGACCTTTTATCCAATGTAGAATACTTTTTTCAGCACAACACAATTAAATCTTCACATTTCTTGCTTTTTGATCACCCAATGCTTTTAACTCATTTTTCAATGCACAATGAAAATGCGATGCAATTCTTTTGTTATTATAAAAAGACCTCTTGATCGGCTTTCATCTGTCGAAGATCGTAAATAACGTTTTATTACTTTTAGAATTGAAAGACTTCGTTTAGTTCAAGCTACAGACTGACCAAATAAATTTTAGATTGGCATGCACAAATAATTTTTAGTGCAGACGCATTTGAACAATAACTCTGATAAAGTTTTTTTTTCTTCCGTTAGATATACCCAAAACTTTTTTGTAGCATGCAATAAGTCTAGACACTTGAATAGATATAACCGACTTATCGCTATGTCTAGTGAATCAAGCAGAAACTTAAGAATGGTGTAAAAGACCCTTTTATTAAGATATCAAATAGTTGAAAGTAATGAAAAAGTAAGGAATTCAAATTTGAATTAAATCTAAGTAAGTAAACCAAAGGCTACGCAGAAATACTTAACGCTCAAGTTTGGCTCTAAGGAAAGGGAAAGGGAAATAGACTCATCTTTAGATTCAAGCGAAAACTGCTTTCTTAAATTTGAACGCCATATCGTTGAATTGAGCAAACACTTTCTAAAGACGTACCCAATTCATTTATTTCTTCTGTACCCTTTTTACTTCCTTGTACGAAGTAAAAGAAGTATTGTAATCGCGAAAAGTTCAGGCAGCATATTTCAACGATGTGTATCATTTGACCGCTCTCGCTGCAATGTGTAACGAGTGTTGTCGTAACCGACGAAGGCAAAAATGAAGTCCTACAAAAAATTCTCGCTTTAAATGAATTTGAAACGTTTTTGCTGGCGTCTGTAGCGACGTATGTACGTACGTGCGTACGTCGTGTATCGCATAAGTCAAAAACGAGTAGCTCAGACGTGAAATTTGTTATAGGACGCTATAACATTAGATGTGCATCTCGTATTTTGGTGCAATCGGCCGCACAAACGTATATAATATATTATTATAATATCCACTCTGTACGCAGCTCAGTGATCTCATTTCTTACTCTATATTTTGTTAATGTACATTTTTTGCTTAAATGATGACTTATTTGTCTTTCTTCGGTAGATTTTTATGCCTAGTAAATCTCTATGCAATATTTTTAAAATATAGCCAATTTTAAGTTGTTTAAATGCCGCTAAGCCTAATAATTTTTGTGGCGCCATTACTTGTTTACATTGAAACAGCAGATATGGATTGTACCAATCTAGAGAACTAGCTTCGCAGCCAAAGATACGCCTTCATTTATTATTGAAATTAAACCATGTAATCCTTTCGAATTTTTCGAGGAAGTACGTGTTTAAGATTACTTGTACTTTTTAATATAGATCTTTGATTTTGATGTTTTTTGCCTCTGCGAAGTGAGAACTGATTAATGAATGATAACTCTCAATCGCTGTGAAAAACTTTCTTTTATTTGTTTGCTTAATTTCTTTATACATATCTAGCTTTTATTTATTTGAATAGAACATTGGCAGACGTAGATAATATATATTTAAATTATATAGTTGGTCATTATTAGTTATATCTGAACGAAATATAATACTGTTCGTGAATCTAGCGCCAGAAGTCGCTAGGTAACAATTCTAGTGAATTTTAAAGAATCATTTATCTTTGTGGTCTATTGCTATCGCGAAATAGACTTAATCATCACTAGTTTAATGGAAATGAAGAAAAATGCGAATTTAATATTCCGTACAAGGAAGTCTGTGTGTACACATCAGATTTTTTTTATGTTCATTTATAGGACTTCGGTTGCCAACTGCATTCAAATCAATCCGTTTGGGGATCAACCTCGGACCGAACTACAGTCTTCACGACTTTACCGCTGCCGCTGTGGTGGTGGTGCATGGTGTATTAATTACGGCAAGCACACTAGGGCTACTGCCTAAGGGGAGGTATGCTTTCGTGGACTACTTTCTAAGGAAACTGGCTCGTATACTGTTACGCATGGGGAAAACCACGAAAACACCCATGCAGCCAGCCCGTTCACGGGATTCGAACCTCAGACCGAACTACTAGTGTTCAACGACTTTACCGCTCGGCCGCTGGTCGAGCCAAAAAATTAGGAATGATGCTCTTAGGGTTATCACGGGGTGGAGTTGCAGCTCTAAGTCCACTGAAACAACGGACGCGCAGTTTTAGCGAAAGTTCATGTCAGGAAGTTGTAAAGATTTATTTATATTTCTAATCAGTCATTTTACGTTAAATACCTTTACTGTTGTTCTCGCTTTCCGTTATCCTGCCAGTATGCAAATTTTAGTTAGCTTATATTCAAACCAGATACAAGGAGATTATATTTAAAGGAAGATTTTAGACTGTTTAATCGCAGCGTGTTTCTCAGACTGATTGCCACGTTACTAGTTGAATTTCTTAGATAGTTGTCTGTCTGTCTGCGGCATTGCGTTATTCCCATCAAGCTTGTCACCCCGGTATTCGATTTGATACAACTTGCGCATTATTTATGCCGTGTAGCATTTGACTAACTTACGACATTCCTTCTTGAGTTACGCAATCAATGCTGGCTGGCTTCGTAAGCACAAGAAGTGTCTTCTGTTAAATTACTGAGTTTTGATAACAGATTATTTTACACCCTGCTTACGTTCTTTTTCTGATAACCGGACTCTTAATGGACGAACGTTAACGAATTTCGCGTACTGCGCATGCTCAATGGTGTACCGCTGGCGTGGGAGAAAATACTGGCCCCTAAACATAAGCAATCCTACACAAGCCTGTTCTTCATATAGTTCTTATCGACTGTTTACGATTCCAACAGTCTATTTCATTTACTTACAATAATTTATTTAACCTTTAATTCAATAATTTAAACTAGATTTTATCCTTAATTTGTTAAAGTATATATGAATGAAACGTATGGAAAATACTCAATTGTTTTTATTTCTCAGAAGTATAATTAGCTAATATATCCTGTGATGTTTCCTGCTTTGTAATCCTTTTTAAAAGAAAATTTGGGTAGTTTACAATCGACATTTACACTCCAAGTAATGAAGCAGCTTACAACCTGACACTTTTTAAAGCCTCGAACTGTTTACGCCCAAGAAAACACAATATCAACCAAATACCGTATTTATCTTCTTTTAAAATTGCGCCAAATTCTCTTTTTGGCATGCGCAGTAAGCGAAATTCGTTTAACATTGATCAACTCAATGTGCGGTTTGCCATTACGCTAACCGGGCATAACGATGAGTTGCTTAGGTTCAGCTTGAGTCTCGTCCTCATTTATGTTTCCCAAGAATCGTTCAACACCTTTTTTAGGTCGTAATCTTTTTTTAATTTGATTCTTTTAAAATTATTTTTAATATTTTAACTAATTTTTAAATTTATTTTTAAAATAAAAGCATCATCATTATCAGGCGTAAAATTAATGGTAACAGCTGCTAAGATATAAAATGCCGTTTCTCCTTATTAAATTAAAATGTAAACGATACATCTATTTGTGAACGTAGTCTTATTTATACGAGTATTTTAAGTATTCAGGTTAACAGATTGATTTCTTGCACTGAATACGGCAAACGTGACCAAAGTTCAGTTCTACTGCCACTTTAATTGCCATCTTCGTGCTAATAAACAGCAGATTTAATATCGGAAACGCAATTTGAAAATTTGAAAATTACATAAATTTAATAATTTCAAACATTTCAAATTGCGGTTTGGATGCTGATTTTCAAGATAAAAAGCAGCATGCAAAATGTTGTGACAAAGCTACTCTTAGAGCAGTTGAACACTATGGAAATGAAAATTTTCGATAGCTGTGATATGCCATTTCGGTCTTTCCCATTCAGGCTTTCTGAAGGTGGCACCAAATATCGTGCCATTTCAGACTTTTCCTCTCGTCTGCGGGTGCTGTGCAGGAAAAGATCAAAAATTAAACCATTTCGGCCTTTCTGTTTTTTAAGCTTTTATTACAGTTTGTGGGAAGACATTAGAAAGAGATATAAGGTATTTCTCCCGCCTTCTTAGCATGCCTCCGTAGTGT